TTTTAAAATCAGTGAAAGGACTGCAAGAAGTCTAAGAATTTTCTCCAAATGAAGAGTGAATTTTTTTAAAAGAGAAAGAAATGAGAAATATCAGGAAGTAAAAAACATAGAGGATTGGGAACCAGCAGTTAGTGTAATGGCTATGTTGCTGGACTCCCATGTAGTTGACCGCGGTTCGCGTCACGGACCTGGTGGCTTAAAAAACTCACACCGGGCACATGTGCATGTGTGCCCAAGATTCCGAGAGGAAAACAGAGGAGAAGGAATTGCAGCATGGCCATCTCCCCAGAGGGGTGATTTCTTGCTTTCTGTCTCTCTGTCTCTCTCTACCTGGCAAGCGCACACACCCTATAGCAAAAACCTCTCTGAAAAAAAAAAAAAAAAGAAAAGGACATTAAACCGAAATCTGGGCCGGCAGATGGTGTGGTGGTTAAAGGCGCTGGATTCCCGCATGGCCGACTACAGTTCGAGTCCTGAACCTGGTGGCTTGCTTTCTCACTTTCTCTCTCTTTCTCTCTCTCTCCCTCTAAAAAATGGATGAATAAAGTTAAATAAAATAATAATTTAAAAAAAAACCTGAAATCTGGTATCCAGTCAAACTGTCAATCAAGCATGAAAAAGATATGTTTTCACATTTGAGGACTTCAAAAGTTTCTCTTATCTTTTGGTAAAAATTACTTGAGGATGTACTCCAGCAAAACGAGAAGAGCCCAAGATAGAAGGTAACGGTGGACCCAAGAAACAATGGATGTCATCTAGAAGAGCAGTGAAAAGACATCACCCCATGACAGTTGTGCAACATGTCAGGAAAGAAGCCAGTGAATATTAGATCTTCAACAAATGGCTTGGTCTTGGGCCAGTTCCATGGTGCAGTAGTAAGGTGTTGCTCAACAGAAGCCAGATCCGACATCGTGACTGTGGTTTGAATGCCCAGCCTGGTCAGCCTGAAACACACCAAGCACATGCACAAGGGCGCAGTTACATGATGTACGGGTCTGTAGCCTAGGAGCACACAGGCTACCCATTATAGCCCTAGGTGTGTAGTAGTCTGTTCCCCTTGGTCTGTGTGAGTGCACTCTACGATGGTCACACAATGATGAAATCACCTAATGATGCTTTTCTCAGGACGTATCTCTGTGGTTAAGTGATGCACATGCGCATGCACATGCATAAGTGTAAAAGTAAAATGAATTCGTATGAGTAATATGAATTGCTTAATATTGCAAAATATTCCTCAGCTGCTTTATGCAACTTCTGCAACTGGCATAAAATCACAAATGTTCTGGAAACACAAACTGGAGCACACACAAAAGGCAAAGAGATGGGTGTGTCACACTAATGAGAAATAGTGTGTGACATGATCATTTATTGCATTCAAAACGGTTTTTTTTAGAATTATTTTATTGGACCCGGCAGTTAGTGTAATGGCTATGTTGCTGAACTTCCATGTAGTTGGCCGCGAGTCCCGGACTCAGTGGTTTAAACTCACACCGGGCGCGTGTGCGTATGTGCCCAAGATCCTGAGAGGAGAATGGAGGAGAAGAGATTGTGGTGTGGCCATCTCCCCTGGGGGGTGATTTCTCGCTTTCTGTCTCTCTGTTACTCTCTGTCTTTCTGGTGAGTATATGCACCCTATAGCAAAAACCTCTAAAAAAAAGAATTATTTTATCTAATTTTATTTATTATCACTATTTTTTTAAGTTAACCAGAGAGAAGGAAAATGAGAAAGCAAGCTGCCAAGTCCAGGACTCAAACTGCAGTCAGCCATGTGGGAGTCCAGTACCTTAACCGCCATGCCACCTGCCAACTCTGCATTTTTGAGGAGAAAGGTTTGATGAGCTGATTTCTCTTTTTTCTCATTTCTGTCACTCAAATCTTCCCTGCACTTAGAAAACAGTGCCCACTTCTGACATTGGTATTGAGACAATCCATAACCCTCTTGGCATGAAATATAGTCTTTTTTTTTTTTTTAAATTTTTGCCATAGGGCACATGTGCTCATTGGAGAGGGACAGGCAGAGACAGAGAAGAGGGAAAGTGAAAAATCACACCCACCTACCCCAGGGGGGATGGCCATGCTGCAATCCTTTCCCCATTCTCCTTGGGATTTAGGGCATGTGTGCACATGTACCTGATGTATTTTTCAAGCCTCTGGGCTCAGGACTCGAATCATAGACTCAACCATCTGGGATCCAGCATCTTAACCACTACACCACCTGCTGGCTCTACAGCTACTGTCTGTATTGAGAGCATAGGGCAGAGAGACAGGAGGTGCTTCCCTGGGGCCTAAACTGTGTTAGTAAGAGAAGATGTTTAGGATGACTTGTGCCAGACAAATACCAGACCTTCAGAAACAGAAGCCCCCATTGATTCTTTAATAATTTGTGTGTTTGTGACCTGTGGACTTCGAAACACAAGACCCAGAGCAGGGACTTTTCTGGCCTGGGTCCAGGGCAGAATTGCCTGTAGCCTTTTCTCTGTCCCTCCCGTAGGCAAGAGTTAGCATCTGAGGCAGGAAGACTCCAATTTAGGACCCAGTCCTGCCTTTTACAAGTCATTAAGTCCCCCTGAGCCTCAGCTGTGAAGTGGGCCCTAACAGGAGTTTCTTGTCTCCCGGGTTATGAGAACAGTCCGGCCCCTAATGTTTGCAGGGCCTGGGCAAAAGCAGGAGTGGAGGACTAGCCTGAAGGCCATCCTCTTTTCTTCTCACCCTGGCCTGTTCCACTCTTTGTAGACATCAGAACTTGTAAGTCCAGCCCCTATACACACATGGCTCTCGCTGAGTTCAGCCACTCTTGGCCATTTCTCAGGTCTAGCAGGGTACAGACTGATGGTCCACCTCGGGAAGGATGCACCTGGGGAGGGGGCTACATGGATCCTAGAACTGGGCTCTGGAGTAACACGCACTCGAGGCGTTATCTAAATGGTGGGATGGGGCTGTAGGGAGAGAAACAGGTATGAATTCCAGTTGGATACATTCCCTTGGGCCCTCAGATTCTTAACCTGGAGGGGAGGAGAACAGCCAGAGATAAACTCTGCAAGGCAGGGGGCCCCGAGCAGGGCCCTGGTTGCCTGGCTCTGAAGTGGTTCCGACTGCAGGGTGCATGAGGTGTTTATAAACTGCCGTGGACACTGCTTGGCACAAGCCATGTGTTTTGCACGTAGCGACTGCTCGATAAATACTGTTATTGATGTGACTATGATGGAAGTGAGTCTGAGGGCTGCTTCTCCCTCTCCAAGGTGTGATAGGAATACATGGGGTTGTTTGGGTGCGACTGTTCTAAAGGCATTTGGATGAGATGAGACGGCTTCCCTGAGAGTGCCCAAGCTGAGGCTGCAGGGAATACTGGCCTGCTTGTTGGGGACATGAGGGAGCGCTCTGCTCCCTAGAAGGTGTAATTGCCAGCCTGTGTGGTTCCCCAGGTGCCCGACAGTTCTGTAATTACAGAGAGTGACTTGGCAGGGACCGTCTAAGAGATTAATACATAGCAGCCTAAGGTAGGCTGTAGCCCTGCTAACGTCCCTGTTTATAGGACACCTACTACGTGCATAGATGCTAGGCTATAGTTTTTTCCTGCAACCCTGAGGGGAGGTACATTTCACAGAGGAGGAAACTGAACCTCAAGAGGGTAAATGACTTGGTCAAAGTCACACAGACAGGGAGGACTTGTAGGGTCTGAGTCCAAAAGCCAAGCCCTTCCCATCGTACTGAGGCTGAGCCTCAAGTGTCACTCATGAATGGAGGGTGAAAATCTTCCCAGGGAGGCCTTGACTGATTTCCTAACAGAGATAATCACAGTGTGGGTTGTGAAAGCACTCAGTGCCAGGAAGCACACAGCTAATCCTCCTGCTCATTGTGCCAACCCGAGCCCAGCCCCACAGAATACCCTGGAGCTGCCCTGGGACTTTGGAGAAGGTTCCATTCTCTCCCATTCCTGACCTGCTGTGGAGGACAGGGCTGCTCTGGTCTGCGAGGGGCGCTTGCTCAGGCCTGGTCTGGCCCTTGGTGTCATGAACAAGCATCATCTCAGGTGGGGTTTGCTTTCGGCTCTTTGAAAGGCAGTGGTAAGGATGAAAGATAGTGATCTCCCCCTCCCAATGCCAGCCTCCCAGGACTTCAGCCATCTTGGCAGTCCACCTAGAGAGCCATTTCTTAGGAGGTCAGCGTAGGACAGTGTTTCTAGACCCCCCCACCCCCCAGCTTCTCCTTCCTAGTTCAGGTCTGCCTGGACACCCAGTCCTGAAGGTTGGCTCAACTCATCAACCCCAGGCAGCTAATGCCATCAATATCTTAGGATTTTCTTTTGATACACACAGACTCTGTTCCTGACTGACTCCATGCTCAAGTAGGCTGAACGGCCATGTTTGCACATTGATGCATTCTGGACCAGCACCATGCCTGGGAAACCAGGCTCGGATTGGCTTTCCACAAAGCAGACCCTGTACAGGCAGTTTCTTTGGGTGGGAATCCCAGGAAGCACAGGTACGGGGATGGGAAAGTGAGTCAAAGAAGGAAGGGAGCCAGTGTGGGTTACATTCATGAGTAGGTTACTGGTGAGGGAAATTGAAGCTCAGTGTTGCTGGCGACCTCTAGGAGACAACAAAGAATATGTCTGAGTTGTCCCCCATGAGGGCTGAAGATGCTGGGTATCTATCCAGCAACCCCCACTTGTCACTGGTGAAGGGCTGCTGCTAGGGGTATTAACTCCCTAGACCCCGGCCTGTCCCTATTAAGCTCACCCATGCTGCCGGACCTTGGAGGAAGCAACCATCTGAACAGTCAGCCCTGGTCCTGCCAGGTTAGGGTGACACAAAGATCCGAACAACCAGACAACCCATGAGTGGAAACTTTATTGCTCCAAGCACTTTACATGAATGTCACCAATCCCACATTCGGGCAAATATATAAAAAGCACAACCTACTGTACAATCATTCCTACTCCTCAACTCAGGCACTACACAGATGCTCCCCACGCCTCTCCCCCGGCAGGATGGGTGGGCTTCAAGGGCAGCAGCTACACTTGTCTGAGCCTCCTTTGCAGATGCAGCCCCGGGCACACTTGGCACAACCCGGGGGGCAGCAGGGACAGCAGCCTAGAAGGGTCAGAGATGGACAGATCAGCGTTGGACAACACTCTCATGCCACCACTAACTCTCCCACCACTTAGAAGAAGCAGGAGAAGAGACTGTGTACAGAGGTTTCCATCCACATTAGCAGGATACCTGGAGCAGGAAGTTGTGGGATGTTGGAGCTGGAAGGGATCTCGATGGTCATCTAAAGTCCATTGGAGACCCACAGAGAGGAAGGGGTTTGTCAAGGTCACCGGACAGTGGCAGATCTAAGACTAGAACCTGGGGCTCATGATTCCAGGCCAGTGCTCTGTCCATGTCACCACTAGGCAGGACAGAACCTTCCCTCAGGCTCCTTCCTGCTCCAAACACAGTGGATGCCCTCATCCCCGGGTGGACTGCAGCCAAGTCTCTGCCCTGCTCTCATTCCAGACCTCTCGCAATAGGTAAAAGACACCCACAACTCCCTTCATTCCACCATGGCTGGACGACTGAGGAAGGGACACGCCATCTTTCTGGCTCCTGGCGGATGGTGCCCAAATCACTATACTCACTTTTCCGACACGTTTTACAGTTGCAAGTTGTACATTTGCAGTTATCTCCACAGATGCAGATTCCTCCTAGGAGAGAGCACAGAGCCATCATGAACATGAGGTCAGAAGTGGAGTGGGGGACCAGCAGGTGGCATGGTAGTTAAGGACACTGGACTCCCACGTGGTCAACTGCGGTTCGAGTCCTGGACCTGGTGGCTTGCTTTCTCACTTTCTCTCTCTCTCGCTCTGTCCTTCTCTGGTCAAAAAATTAAAATAAATAAATAAATGATTGTAAATAAAATAATAATTAAGAAAAAATAAGTGGAGTGGGGAACACAAGGCGTGCTGCCAACTGCCACAGTGGCAGGCTTTCGGAGTGTCTGAGGAGTGGCTGGACAAGAGGGTGACAGTGCTACAGAGTGTCACCCTGGGGTCAAGGATCATCCACTGGTCCCCAATCACAAGCCAGGCATGGGAAGTCTGGGTGGGGAAAGGAATCAGTATTTTTAAAAAAGCACCTCCTGGATGACTCTGATGTACAATCAGGCTAAGAACCACTACACCAGGCCAACTTTAGCAAGCTCAAGCTTTCTCTGGCAACTATGGAAGCTTTCAGGCCCACCTCACCTTTGCAAGGCCAGATGGAAACCAAATGGGAGAAGAAATGGAAAGGACAAAAGCAAGCCCAGAGTGAGAGCCACACCTGGTTTTCATGCCATAAAAACCATCTACACTTTTTAAAAAGTCATCTCATTTATCATTTGGAGTTTTAAAATGCTGGAAGCTACTCTTTTTTGTACGTTTTTGGTGCAGATGTGTCCTGTTAAGAGGAGGAAGGCTCGTGAGACCTCTGGATACCATTTTCCAAGGTATAAAAGCCCAGAAGGGCTTTAAACTTTGCTCTGTCTCTTACTGGCCAACATGCTTCCCTGGAGTTAAGTGGTTTAAGAGCTGAGGGATCCACATACGGGTATAACCACTCCCCTGACATCCGCAGGTAATGATTTTCACTCTAGCCGAAGGTAAGGATTTTAACGCTTTCCCAGCAGCCGTGGGATGTGAGCAGCTGGGAACAACTAACCTGTTTACAGATGAGAAAACTGAGGCCCCAAAATAATGTGTCAGTTCGAGTGGCAGCCATGGACTAAAACCATTTGCAGGTTTAGGGCCAGAACTCTTCCCCCATTCCCCACTTAGTGGCTTCTCCTAGGGACCTATGGCTAGAAGGACGGGGTTTCCAGGCACTCCCATCAGCCATTCCTGGAGACAGGCTGTCAACTGTAGCCAATCAGCCTGGGAGTCGACAGAGAGTGGGAACTGCTCCTGAGGTCACCAATCTGGGGCAAACCCCATTGGTGGCTCCTAACTGGAGGAAAAAGACGTTTTAGTCAGAGCCCTGCAGACTCCCTGGGAAGCTGATACAAGGTTCAGGACCCCAGGGTGGGCTTCCCTACTCACCAGACATGCAGGTGCATTCTCCGGGGTCCATGGTTCAGATGTCCGGTGGCTCGGGTACTTTCACGACTGGGAAAGGGAGGCTGAGTGAGCCGCCACGGAGGCTGCCTATTTATAGCCAGGTAGGTGTAAACTGTGGTTCACCCCACCTCTCCCTGGGGCCAGACGCCCTGCACACGGCCCAGCCAGACGCCGCGGGCTGGGGGTTGGAGAGAGCAGGCAGAAGGAGGGCAGGGGAGAGGCCAAACAGTGCAGTCACATGGGTGGCTTCTCACAAGGGGTGCAGGTCACTGTGGCTGCTCCACCTGCCCGACCTGCCGAGGTGTCAGGAAACCAGGCTCAGGCTCAAACAGCACTCCTGGTGCTCAGACTGGTGGCCATATCCAACCAATCACCACGTCCCATGCATGCTATTCTGTCATTTCTGTCTCCTTCATGGGGCTGCTCCTGCCCTCGCTCAGGGCTTTGTTCTCTCTTGCGCAGTTTGACTATAAAAGCCCTTACCACAGGCAGTGGGGCCTCCACCGTTGGCCCAGGCTTTGGAAGTTCCCACCTGGTTGTGCCCCTTGCCTAAGGGGAGAAGGTGGAAAATCAGGAGGATATGCCCACCCAGGGCTTGCAGCCTCTTCTTTCTAGACCACACATGGAGTGATATAAGGAAGAAGGATTTGGGGGAGACTGAACTGCCCCCCAGGGTCCATCATGGCCCCATTCTTTGATCTAGACAGTGACCACTTTCCATTCTTACGTAGAGTACCCTGTAAATGGTACAGCTTCGAGCTCTCCCCACAGCTGTCATCCCTACCCACTCCTCTATAGTAATTCTGGAGCTGCTTCTCACCTCAGTTCCTCCAGGAAGCTGGCTCTGATTTCTCCCTCTCCCAGATGGAAGAACTCTTTCCTTTGGTGTGTCTTTGATGATGTGTTTGCACATTTACTACTTTGTACTTTGCTGTGTGAATGATTATTTGTGTTCCTGACTCTTTCCACCCTCACCCCAACCTGGGAGCCATCAGGGGAAAGACCTGTATCTGAAACCTCTCTACACTTAATACCCTGCACGATGTTTAGTGGATGTTGAATGAACGCATGAATGAATGAATCACATAAATAGCTCAATGACTGAAGACATGAGTGAGAGTGAGTGTACGAGTGAGCAAACGAATGAGTAAATGAACGGGCGAGTGAATGTTGAACTGACAAATGCAAAGGACTCTGCTAAAACCTGCCATCACCATTCAAAAAGACAAGAAGTGGGGCCTGGTCAGACGCAGTGGAGATAGTCCTCCAAGTTCTCAGCTTAATGATGTCACCATCATCTCCATCGTGCATCTGGAAGGCCCACCTGGGCCTCAGTCTGCCCCTGGAATCATGAATTGGAGCTGAGAACTTCTAATGAGGAGAAAAGGATTCAGCGCCATGGTTACTGGAAGGGCATGGTGACCATCTCTAGGTCTCAGCTCCTGGTCTCTGGATGGCAGCAGGAAAGTATTGGTAAGTAAATATCTCAGACCAGCCTGTGGCCTGGTGGTTATGTGAGCTGGGTTCCACATGCCCAACTGTATGGTTCAAGTCTTGGATGCGGCAGTACGTGTGTGTGTCCCCAAAATCCTGAGAGGAGGGAAAAATGGAAGAGAAGGGGTTGTGGTGTGACCATGCTCCCAGGGAGGCTATTTTCTTGCTTTTCTTCTCTCTCTATTTTTGCCTCTCTTAGCAAACACACATGCCCTCTGGGAAATTAGAAAAAAAATCATTTCTTTGGAGAAGTGACTCTTAGCCTTTTTGGGTGATTCAAGGAGCCCTTTAAAAATCTGATGAAAACTCTGGACTCACTCCCCAGAAAAAAAGCTCAAGACTACATTTTTCCTCACAAGTTCAGGGATTTTGTGGCTCTTCTAAATCCCAGTGATGAACCCCTGAGGGGTTCCAAGGTAAGAATTTCTCTTGGCCAGCCAGTGGCATGGTAGTTAAGGTGTTTGGGTCCCACATGGCTGACTGTGTGGTTTGAGTTTTGGACCACGAGGCTTAAAAAACATGCTGGGTATATGTGTGTGCATGCCCCAAATCTCAAGAGAGAATGGAGAAGAGGTTGTGGGGTGGACATCCCTCCTGAGGGGAGTGCTTTCTCACTTCCCCCACCTCAGCCACCCCCCCAAACAAATGCATGCACATGCCCTACAGCAAATTTATTTTTGGGGAGATTTTTGCTATAGGGCACATGTGCTCACCAGAGAGACAGAGAGGCAGAAAGTAAGAAATTACCTCCCCAGGGGGCGGGGGGATGACCACTCTGAAATCCCTTCTCCTCCATTCTCCTCTCAGGATCTTGAGCATGTACGCACAAGTGCCCAGAATGAGTTTCAAGTCACCGGGTCTGGGACTCAAACCGCAGCCAACTATGTGGGAGTCCAGCAATGTAACCACGATGCCATCTGCCAGTCCCACCTACAGCAAATTTTAAAAAATAAAAAATAAAAGAATTTCTCTGCAGGGGCAGACAGTGGCTCAGTGGTAAACACAATACTCTAGGGCTGACCCACATGGGAGGTTCCAAGTTCACATCCAGAGACCTCCCTGAGTACATCGGCACATGTTTATATGTGATCTGGAGCTGACTGAGGCTGGGGTGGACCCAGATATCAAGACCCTGTTGGGCGTACCTGTCTCTCTTTCTCTCTGTTTCTCACTTATGGAAGAAAGACAGATATACTTAAACAGAACTAATAATCCCACTGCCAAGAAGCCATTTTGCCTGGAGCAGTTCTTCTCTTCCCACACAGTCATTTTAGCTCCTTTGAGCCATTGAGGCCTAAATAGCCCTTTCTCTGGTTATGGCCTCTACTTTGTGCACAAGTAAATGCAAGTGGTTTTCTCAGAACAATGAAGCAGGTTGTTCCCAAAGGAGGATCTAATATTCAGCCTCTCACAAAGTGTCAACCAACAGAGCTTTTGTCTTCTCCCCTTCCCGTGAAGGTAAAAGCTAACCACATGCTGCTTCTATGCAGAAAGAAGTTTCTGTGACTCATGGTCTAGGGAGGGGGTTTCAGCCAGCAAAGATGGCAGAGAAAGATCCTGTACCCCAACGCCACACCCTGGTCTGTGCTTTGCTTTTGGAATTTCCATCCTTCCCCATACAGGGACTCTCATGATATGGGCGTTCCCACTACAGGAACCGGAAGCCATCGCTTTCATTTTGCTGTTTATAAACCGGCTTCTCTAAACTCCAATCTCTTGCAAAATGAACTTATCCCAGTGGCGAGGCACACCAAGGGCCACCACACAGTACTTGCTCAATAAATACTTCTGGGCTGATGACAAACAAACGGCCCAATTAATCGTCACATCCAGGCTGTCTTCTCTGTCAAAGAGATTCAGAGGACTTTATTGTTCGCCAAGAGCGGTCAAAAGCTTGAGATCTAAGGCCTGGGTCCTAATCCCACATCTGCTTTTTTTTGCTGGATGATTTGGGACAAGTCGCTTGACCTCTGTGAGCCTCAGTTTCCTCATCTGCAAAGTCTGGCTCAAGCAAATGACAACCCTCCAGCGCTGTCACTGTGCAGGCTAAATGAGGGACTGTGTAGGAAACACTTAGCGTGGACTCTGGCACCGTATTACCATTATCGTGGTTACTATGTCATTATCATTTTCTGGGCCTAATTCGGCTTGGCAGAATGGGTCAGTCATTCACTGGTTTGTATGTTTCAGGCTCGTAGACCCCCATCAGTTCTAGAGTCCTGTTGTGGAGCTTTAGCCTCTGGGCTCCCAGATTTATTTTTTATTTTTGGTCTATATAGCATGAGAGCTCCCTGGAGGGAGAGAGACAGACCCAGATACAGAGACAGAGAGGGGGAAAGAGAGAAATCACCCCTCCCCCCAGGGGATGGCCACTCAATCCCTTCTCCTCCACTTTCCTCTTAAGACTTTTGGCACACATGCCCAGTGTGAATTTCAAGCCACTGGGTCCACCACTCAAACCATAGAGTTGACCATGTGGGTTGACCCATGTCTCAACCTCCATGCTGTCTGCTGGCCCCAGGCTCTCTGCTTTTAAGCTCAACCTAGTTCCTTCTGGTCCCAGGGCACTGTTCTTTCTCCCTTGGTTGCAGTTTCACGAAACTCTTGGAGGCAAAGTTGAAATCCCAGCGCTCTTCTGGGGTATTTCTGGCTTTCGATGCAGGCCTAGGCATGAGACAACTCTTCATCTCCCTCACATGAAGTTTTTTCCTGGCCACTTTATCTAAAAATTTCATGAAATCAGAGAAGGTAGGGGACCTGTGGGAGACCAGCTTAAATCCCTAAATGTCAAGCTCTGGAAGGACTCTGAGAAGTCGGGTTAGTTTCTTGCCTAAACAGGGAAACAGAGGCCGGGACCAACGGGCCCACCCCTGGCCAATGAGCTTAGGTTGATGGCAAGGGGTTTTGAACATGGCTCCTCAACTTGTCACTAACACCTACCCTTTAGATCTGAAGCCCTTGCGACAGAATTGTTTAGTAATTTGGAGTCTTATGACTTTATAAACTGTTGATTAATTATTTTTTATTAGACAAAACTTCCAACATACTAAGAAGTACAAAGAACAGTATTCAAAACGCGGTTGTATCTACCACCCAGCATGAACAGACGTCCATATTATTGTCTTCGCTTCAGCTCTTTTAATGACAAGAAATTAAAAATTAACAGGCTCAGGGCTTTAAACCCCACCTATGTGCTGGCGACTGTCAACTGACTTCTAGCACGGGCCTCGCTTCGGAACTCCAGACTTGCAATTCCGGTTGCCACTCCATGTCTCCATGTCTCACACGTGGAGTCTCCCCAGCTGAGCTCCTGCTCCCAGTCTCACCTCCAACCACGTCCTCCCACTGTCTTGTCTGCCATGACGGCTGCCACCTGGTTTGAGCCACCATCATTGCCTGCCTGGATTCAGCGCTCACTTCCTAACCGGGTTCCCTGTTACTCTCCTCTTTCCTGCTCTTCTTCCCTGTTCACCATGCAGGACTCAAAATGAACCTGTTGAAATAAAGGGTGGGGCAGCAGGTAGCGTGGTGGTTAGGGCAGCTGGTTCCCACAT